AAGTGTTATTTTCGACAAACCAAAAGGACCTAATTTGTAGTTTACTACTCAAATTTCATCATAAACAACCAAATTAAAAGGACAGATACGCATATATATCTATACTATATTATAAATTATTTGATAAAAACTTTAAAAAAATTATTTTTTATGCATGAATTACTGTTTATTAATGCATATTACTTAAAATTAATAATTACAAAAAATTAATAATATACAAATACAACTTATTAAAGCTTACATTTTTGAATTCATATGGTTTACTACTCAAATTTAACATAAAAGAACAAATTAAAAGGACCCATACATGCACAAAAAAGAACACACACACATATATATATATATATATATATATATATATAGGAAAGTTGAATTTTTATGCTTAATGTAGTCTTATATTTGAAAAATGTGTTCAATATTTTGATATTATTTGAAAAATATCCATATTTTTCAAAATACATTTATTATTAAATACAAAATATGTTTAATGGGTCCTTGTAAACTTGGGCATTTATGTTCCTCAATTACTATTGTGCAAGTGGATGAGTCATCATTACCGTTCAAATTTAAAGTCAATCGAGCAGTTATTAAACGTTTATCATTCACATCGAGCTCATATACATTTTCTTCATATTTAAAGCACATCGAGTAAACCACATGGGCTCCAAAGGTCAAAAGCGCTTGAAGGTCCCGTGTTTGAATCCAAGGAGAAATAAAAATCATTTTGTGGTCATGGAAGTTTAAATGTGCTCACTCCAGGCTAGTTGGCTACCTGTGAAACGGGTGGTCGTCTGGGATTATTTAGCTCGCATAGCAGGTTGGATATCCAAGTTAATAAAAAAAGTACATCAAGTAGATATCAAACATATCAAGCTTGTAAAAACACACATTTCATGAAATTTAACACTTATCAAACACATCATACTTACACACACACACACACACACACACACACACACACACACACACACACATATATATATATATTTTGGGGTTAAGCCGTCCAAATTGTACTGTATAATATGTTTTGAATTAATATGTTCTTGGTTTTTTTTTGAAATATATATATATATATATATATATATATACATGTATTAATTCAACCTTAATCTGAGTTTCTGACAAAAAAGAGGGTAAACAGTTGAAATTTCATTCTAAAACCCATCTTTTTTTGTCTTTTCATGGCTTATGATCTGTCAAATTTGTAGTTTTCTTTATTGGTTTTGAGTGTTTATCTTAAAACTCAAGTTTCTTGGTTCTTTGCTCTTGGTGTAAATCGAATACATTTGTGGAGTCGTTTAAATATGTTGRATTTTAAATATATTGGATTTTAAACTGTYATACAATTTTTTYCATCGATAGTCTGTAATTGGAACCATAACTCTTATTTATTCAAATTGTATTAATATGTAAAGACCAAGTGTAACCTATATCATCATTAAATCTTATCTTATAAAACAAGTGGAACTTCAAAATCGTTAAAATTCATGGCTCCCGCCGCATTGCGCGGGTACACAACTAGTATATATTAAAAGAGAAACCAAGGTTGATGACTTGGGTTCTCCTAAAGGGTAGAAAGTTATTTATCTTTTTTCTCATCCATCCTCCTTTAATCTTTTTTTTTTCAATTTCACATTTTAATTTTTATAAACATTGATTATTCATTTACGTTTACATTTAACACAATCTTTTCATTTTTCATAACTATTCTTCATGAATTGTTCATCATACAATCTCTTTTACTCCATCTCCATCACTTGATTTGTTTTTCATTTCATTTTTCTCCATCTCCATCACCTGATTTGTTTTTCATTTCATAAATTGTTATTTTTCAACAAATCTATTTTCAAGTTTATTTCGAGAAGACTAATTCAGGTATGCGTTCCTTTTTATGTTTGTTGGGATTTTAGAATTTTGTTTTTTTTTTACTTTTCTCTTCTATGATTTTTCTTGAAGAATTTTGAAACGTAGAGTTTGTTCTTGACAACACTTTTAGAGTTTTCATGTCAACAATGGTTCGATTAATCGTCTGATGATAGAATCTTGAAAATACTACAAACCATGATGTAGCATCAACAAATTTCAATATGTTTTTGTAATGGTTATCATTTTTCAAGTATACTTTGAGAAAACTAATGTGTGTATGCATTCCTTTTGACTTTTATTGAGATTTTAAAGTTTTTTTTTTGTTACAATTTTTCATGTATCATCACCAAACTTCAACATGCCCTTTTTTAATAGTTATATTATTTTTTTCAGGTTTATTTCGAGACGATTAATCCGAGTATGCAATTCTTCTTAATTTTGTTAGGATTTTAGATCTTTTTTAACTAATGTCTTCTACATTTTTTTTAAGTTTTTTTTCCAACTGAACCAACAGTATGTTTTTAGCAATTGTTTTAGAGTTTGATTAACAATAACCATTCCTCATGGAATCTTGAGAAACCAAGTTTAATGAAAAACCATTTTTCATATCATCTTTTATTTTCTCATTCTTATTTTACATTATAATGTTTTCAACATATCAATTGTTGAAACTTTTTTTTTTTTTTAATAATTATTATGTACAAGACTAATTCAGGTATGCGCTCCTTTTTATTTTTGTTGGGATTTTAGAATTTTTTTTATTTTTCTCTTCTATAATTTTCTTAAGTTTTCTCAATAAAAATGAGAGTTTGTTCTTGACAACACTTTTAGATTTTCATTACAATAACGGTTCGATGATGAAATCTTGAAAGTATGTAACAACACAATGTTTGCTTGGTGAATATAAATATTTTATGAGAATATATGTAAAAGACAATTTGATATGTATTATGACTAAACAATTCTCATAATACACCTTATATGATTATAATCAATATTTTCACATATTTTTTAATGATTTTGAACTGATTACAACGTTTGATATAATATAACATTGATATATAAGACTTATTAATATATATATATATATATATATATATATATTAAAAGAACAACCAATAATGATAAGGTGGATTCATTTAGCTAACTTCAGTATTTTAAAAAGGATTATTGTCACCATGCAACGCATGGTGTCAAACACTAGTATGGATAATCATAGAGTAAAACGGATCGACGACAATGAGAATGAAACAGCTAAAAGCGTCTACGAATACATTCGGAATTCGAATTCCGAAAGTGAAGAAAATGATCAATAAGTGTCCCAATATGATCATATGATAGCTATGAACACGCTAATGTGAACATGCCTACATTAAAGATTTGAGTTCGGGATGACAAACAATATACATTCTTCACTAAGTTTTGAATTTCAGTAAATCCACATCCTTGTTGCTCTTTTTAATTATCTGCTTTGTGTAATAATAGTTTTAGTTTTGAAGACTAACTACATAGGGGYTGTTCATTATGTTCATTAAAGATTTGACTTCGGGATGACAAACAATATACATTCTTCACTAAGTTTTCAATTTCAGTAAATTCACATCCTTGTTGCTCTTTTTAATTATCTACTTTGTGTAATAATAATTTTAGTTTAGTTACTGTTTTATGTCATATAGTACAAATCATATCATGCTTATATAAGGGCTGTTCATTATGTTCATTGTGCTATATTACTTGATCACACACATAGCGATTACATTTTTCATACTAGGATGCATTAAGACATTTGTGCACAGACACACATATATTAACATATATCAAATCAGCACAAATAACACAGACGTAGTCGTTGGGATTCGTTACTGTTTTATGTCATATTGCTGATGTTTATTAGGTTCGCAAATCCAAACTTGTATGTATTTGTGAAGTGTTGCGTGTGTGTGATGTTCATTAGGTTCACAAATCCAAACTTGTATACATTTCGCCAAAATCATCCATCGTTTTGATGAATATTATGAACCAGATTTTTCGCTAATGATATACACTATTRATCGTATAGATTGACAGTTTCGTAGTTGATTGGAGGTTACGAAATCGTCTGAATAATATAGGTTCATGATGTGATGCGATTTTTTACAAAATTACCCTTTGAACAGTTGTTCATAGACATCTCATTTAATACATTAATTAAATGATTATTTTTGTAGTCTCATTTAATAAGAACCGTTTGATGAGAAAATGAACGATCAAGATCAGTTAGCATAGTTTGCACAATAGTTTGGGTTAATATTTGAACCAGCCCATATATATATATATATATATATATATATATAACATCAAAATAAAGATATCAAAAAAGATTTAAAAGTAGGCATATTTTTCAAAGACTATCAAATAAAGCATATTTTTATACATATTAGAAATGAAGTCTCTTAGAAATGAAGTCTAGAGAGTTCCATTAAGAAGCATGTTATTGACAGCCAGGATTCCACCCCCACATTTTTGCATCCACTTCCACGTCATCATATTCCTTTCTATCTTCATAATTCTCTATTTCCCACTTTTATATATTTAATAAATAATACTTAATTATTAGTTAATAGGATAATTTTAAATAACTGGCCATGCAAGATATTGGATTTACAGGTATATTGTGGATTTTTTTTAAATATATAATATTTATATATGAAAAATAGAACAAATAAACTCACACACCTTTCTTTTTTTAGTGAGGTTTGAACTCTTAACCTTCTATTAGGAGACCAAAGACTCGCATACTGCTAAGACAAAGATCATTTGGTTATAATGTGCATAATTATATGAAATATAAACCCATAAATATATTTGAGTTCCGTGAGAAGAAAAGTTATGGTGAGAAACTTAAGAAGAGATCTTCCACACGCTGGATCAATCCTAATTGAATGTAAATACTAATGAGTTGCACCGAGATACAATAGACCAAATCCCTTCAAAAATATAATTCATGGGTGCACATGAGATTAAAAATGATCAAAAGTTCAAATATCCTTCTCACATGATCTTCGCCTATATAATAATATATATATATATATATATGTATTCTAAAATTATGATTATATAAGGGGGGTTTAGGGTCAATTGTAAAGAGCCACTTCCCACTCTCATCTCTTATACAACTCGCTCTCCCCCTTCAATAATAAATAATAAATAATAAATATAAATTAGAAAAATATGCCAGGAATTGCATTTGGTCGTTTCGATGACTCCTTCAGCTTCGGCTCCATCAAATCCTACATTGCTGAGTTCATCTCCACCCTTCTCTTTGTCTTCGCCGGCGTCGGCTCCGCCATAGCTTACGGTAATACATATACATATAATTCCCATGCAAATTTCACGTGGTTAATTAATTAGGTATGTAACTTTGTTTTCATTTGTGCAGCCAAGTTGACGGCGGACGCCGCCCTAGATCCACCGGGTCTGGTGGCTGTGGCTGTTTGCCATGGCTTTGCACTCTTCGTAGCCGTCTCTATCGCCGCCAACATCTCCGGTGGCCACGTCAATCCAGCTGTCACCTTCGGATTGGCTGTTGGTGGTCAGATCACCGTCCTAACTGGTATCTTTTACTGGATTGCCCAACTTCTTGGCTCCGTTGTCGCTTGCTTCCTTCTCAGCTTCGTCACCGGAGGACTGGTAAACACCATATATATATATATATATATATACATACACACACACTTGGGATCTCAGTCTATTCTGTTTTCATGATATCACCTTTTTACATTTGAAATTTCACAGTAAAACATTGTGAAAGAAACAATATTTTTGCCTTGAAGGTTCGGATTTTTCTTACCTTCATAATATATTTCTGTTAAATTTCAAGTGTAAAAATGTTGTCTCATGTGAACTTAACCCTACCAACCGTATATTTTAGATGTTGGTTTTCCATTAATTGGGAAGAAAATGTTTGAAAAAAATTTGGATTTCTGCATAAAGTTTCCTATAGAAGCTTACTGAATAAGTTACTTTCTATATCAATAAAACACTACCAAACAATTTTGTATAGTTGACCGTCTGATTGGATAAGTTGTAAATCTCATTAAGCTTATTAATTAAGCTACTATCAAACAGACCCTTACTTTTTTTTTTTTCCTCAGGCGGTGCCAATTCATGGAGTTGCTGCAGGCGTCGGAGCGATCCAAGGAGTTGTGATGGAGATCATAATCACATTTGCGTTGGTGTACACAGTTTACGCCACCGCATGTGACCCCAAAAAGGGGGCTTTGGGCACCATTGCCCCCATGGCCATCGGGTTCATTGTTGGAGCCAATATTCTGGCTGCCGGACCCTTCTCCGGTGGATCAATGAACCCAGCTCGATCTTTCGGACCCGCAGTTGCCAGCGGTGACTTTTCCGGCCACTGGATCTACTGGGTCGGACCTCTCATCGGGGGTGGGTTAGCCGGAATCATTTACCCCAATGTGTTCATGAGCCATGAACATGCCCCCCTTTCCGGCGACTATTAACGTGTTGTCATGACTCCGACCAGCTTGTGAGTGTATGTAATAAAAGGAGGAAAAGCAATTTATTTGTTTTTCTTTCTTTTTTTTGTGTTATTTTTATTTATGAAAAATTAATGGAATTTGTTTCTTTTTGCATGTTTTATGTGTTAATTTCAAAAGTTAATTATATATATATATAATTAACCTGGATATCTAACTCACAATGCAAACCGACTAATCTCAAGACGACCACCTGCTTTGCGGGTAGTTCAAAGTCACCACATTTGAACCTCTATGCCCACAAGAAGATTTTTATTCCTCATTCGATTTGAACTTGTGACCTTCATGTACTTTTGACCTTTTGAGCCTAAGCTCAAACCAATTAGTCATCACCCTTGTGGTCACATTTTTCTGTCTCTATAGTTTGTTAAAATTTGTGATTTTCGTCGTGTGATTAACTTCTACCCACTTTTAAAAGGCTCACTGTAACAATCATCATGTTGTACTGTGGCTCAAAGTTTATATCTCACACTATGACGTAATGCGAGATTATTATAACAGGGTATTTGATTTTACCTTCTTTTTAATGTCTTATTTGTTAGTTTTTATATATAACTTAATTTAAATTGTTTATTATCATTGATTTATTGAGCAATAGTAGAAAACTAGTATTTATATATATAATATTATATCTGATACAGAGATTTGCCGTCATAAATCACGTCTTGAAAAACGTTGTAACCCTGCCACGGCTTCCAAGGCTTGAAACTTGGTCTCACTGCCACCACGCAACGACTCATGCTATTTAGAACCCTGCTCCTACCTTTAAGTATAATGACAAAAACAACAATAAATTATAAACCATAAGGATGAAACAACGATAAATGCTAAACTATAAGGATGAAAATCGTGATTTTCAAAAGTGTATGGACAAAAATAGCAACTTTCAATAAACTACAGGGACTAAAAACGTAATTTACTCTAATTTGAAAGATGATTGGCGTTGGTTGGTAGAAGAAGTGCATTATTTATGGATGTGTAGTGGTGGGCCCAGTGCAATTATTGGGCATATTTGTTTGGTTTTTTTAATTGTGGATAAATAATTGGTGGGCCCACGTGTACTGACCGACGCACGTGATTGACATGTGACCACTCAAACTTATTACCATTTTTCCAGTAAGTTTTTAAAATAAAAATTACAAATTTGATAGTAAAACGAATGATAGACGTTTGGGAATATTTGTACGAAAATGTACAATAATACCCTTTCCTAATAAAATAAAATATTATATATATATATATATATAGAGAGAGAGAGAGAAAGAGAGAAAGAGAGAGTTGTTTATTTTGCAAACCATGTTATTTGTATAAACTGTACAAACCTCATTCAATCAATCATAATTTTTTATTTTGTTCATTTTTTTTTGTAATTATGAAATGTTGATTAATCATTTTATTTGTAAAGGATGTTAATAATGAATATCATCATCTTCATTGTATTAATGTTAGTGAAATACATGAAAAAGTTTAATTAAAGTTTCATGAGTATTATATGAAACAATTTCATTAAAATTTTATAAGTTTTATTGGAAACAACTTAATCAAAAGTACTATTTGAAACAACTTCATCAAAAGTATTATATGAAACAATTTCATATGATTAAACAATGAAATCGATGAATGAAGGTGGTTTGCACGGTTTATACAAATATAGGTGGTTTACATTTGATCTCCTCTCTCTCTCTCTCTCTCTCTCTCTCTCTCTATATATATATATATATATAATCGAGTTCACGTGAGACCAACATATTTTCGTGAAACCACTCTTTTGTACTTGAAACTTTACAGCAAAACCCTGTGAAGGTAAAAAAAAGTCGCTATGAAGGTTCGGCTTTTTATTACCTTCACAACGTTTTGATGTGAAGTTTCAAGCATAAAAAAATGGTCTCACAGGTGTCACAAAAACATATTGGTCTTACGTGATTCCAATTCTCTCTCTATATATAATCCATAATGTTTTATGGAACACTAGAAAGTTTGATTCTTTTTCAAATTCTTGTTTAAAATTTGTTCGGTATTGATTTATGGTTTATAAGAGGGATAAAGAATAATGAAAATGATAAGACTTAAATGCCATTTAAATAAATCATGTGATATATTATGACAAGATTTATAAACGATGCAAGTTCAAGGACCCAAATTAAAAATATCGTTTATTTTCTTAGCGTAATTAAGAAAACGTCAAGATACATTTGATACGCGGCTTCAGCAGCAACCTGAGGTTGTGGGCCACGGCGTCCGCACACCTATGCCGTAAGACCGCGAGTGTAAAATCACATATGATTTTACACATGATTAGGCCGTTTTCATGTTCTCTTATTTGGTTATTATTCTCTTTTAAACCTCCCTCCAATAAGCCATTTAGGGTGCGCTTATTATCCAAAGATAACAAGACAAAACAATTGTATAGCATTTTATAAGATGGAGGTTTGTTTCACCTTGTTTCATACTTATCAGAAGGTCATAAATTTAATTAAAATCTCATTTTTAAATTATATACCTAGAATATAAACAGACCTTTTTCACAACCCTAAGTAAATATTGACAAAACTTGTAAATAGCAATGACCTTACAACCGGCATTTGATCTAGCGGTATCGTAATCTTTGGCCTTCTAAGAGGTGAGAGGTTCAAACCTCACTATAAATGAGAAGGATGTGTGAATTTATTTGTCACATTTACTGTATATAAATATTATATACTTAAAAAAAAAAAAAAGCAATCAATCTTACAAAATATCTTCTAATGATTGATAATAGTCATCTTTTCCAATTTCAAAAAGAAGACAACTTCACCTTTCTACAATGTATCAACTTAAGGAATTAAACAAGCTAATAAAGGGTTTGTAACCGGCAACCCCAGTATGCAACATTTTGTGCAACCCGCCCCTCCTCCCTCGCCCCCAAGATTTGCAACTATGAGCTCTTTAAATTACATCTGCAAGAAATTCGACAAAATCTTTATGTAACATCTAATTATACATCAAGATCTACCTTATATACAAACTGCCCCCAACAAAAACAACCATGAACAGGGGCATCTTCTGCGATGATTATGGCATTGTGATTGTAAAGCTTTTATCTTCTTCATTTTCTCTACTAGATTCTTTAGTTACACCTGGATCTTCTATGGCCCATGATTCGATTTCCATCTTCTTTGTTCTCTCCAATTGTTTCACCAGGTTCAGCCGTTGAGACGAATATGGAGAAGGAATCTGTTCGATGTATTTGTGGGGGCCACAAAATCATCAAGAAAGAAAGGAAGCAATTAGATAGCATAAAACCAATCCAGGTGATTAGTAAACGTGATTTTAGTGCAAAATCACATGTGATTCGACTATTTTCTTATCCTCTTATTTGGTTATTGTTTTTGTATGAACTTGACTCTATGATTATATATATATATATATATATACACGAAGAATCGTGTGAGAATAAGAATTAAGGTGAAAAGTGTAAGATGGGATTTGGACCCATGATCACTTTTAATCCCAAAAACAACCCATGAATTGCGCTTTAGAAGAGAATTGATTCAGTGTATCTCATTAGAATTGATCTAGTGGATCTTTTCAATTAGGATTGATCCAAGGGTGGAGATCCCTTCTTACCCTTCTCACTATAATATTTCCATTCTCAGCCGGAACCCAACCCTCTATACATGTTTCTTTTTTATTTATAATAATATTTAAAATTTACATTCGTACTAGGAGAAGAAAAATCATATATATATATATATATATATATATATTAATTAGTATTATGCAAAGAGTTTGTAATCATATATTTAGCTTATAAGTGAAGGGTACGAGAATTGTTCAAAAGTACTGGAGACAAGGTTTGAAGACTCGAAATAAAACTTAGGAGGGTTTTACATCTTCGTTTTAACCATGAGTCAGTGGAGTGTGTGAATCCATAAAACTGTAAGTGATGTGATTAGGTAAATCTGTAAAAGTGTGAAAACCGAAAGCGATTAGATAGCAGGAGAGGACAAAAGGTTGTACCAATGATGGGATATACTTCTTGATTGCTGCAAGCATTGCTGCATGCCCTACAGCCGATACCTGCTCACCGACACACAATTCCAGAAACTCGATAAAAATACATGGATTTTTGTGGAGTTCAAAAGCAAGCAATGGTGAAATCCAACAATAAACGAGAATCTAGAACTTGATCAATAGGTTGTATTTAGAAACTTACGGGAATTAACATTAGGATTGTAATTGGAATCAGAGTAGCGATATCATTGAGTGTTCGTTTGATCTTCCCTCTTTCTCTACTTGTAATCTTGTTGCCACACAATTGCTTTACGAAGAGTCCGAAAGCATCTGTTACGTCTATGAAGAGTAACCGAGTGCCCATCCATAAGTTCTACATTGGTTCATGTCAAATGTAGCAATTAAATATTAACAAAAACCAACCAAACTAATAGAGTTTTACTAAAGGGTCAATGGCCAGCTGTATTCGAGTTACTGTAGACCCCGACCTCCTTAGAGGTCAAGGGTTCAAGCCTCACCTTCTGGTGGGAAGTGTCTGTGAGTTTTGATATATATATATATATATATATATATATATATGGTCAAGTTCAAGGGAAAACCGCAAAAAAAAGAAAAAACTGACGAACACCATGGTAACTTCACCGGACGGTATGCACAAGTAATTTGCAAGCAATGTGCATGTAAAACCAAGAAACAACTTCAATTACTTCTATGCACACGTGCATACCATCAAGATGAATGGTTAACAGGATGTTCCTCGGCTTTTCATTTTTTTGGTATTCCATGAATCTCTCTCTCTCTCTCTCTCTCTCTCTCTATATATATATATATTATACGTAAAAGAAAGTTTTGGGAGGCTTACATTACTAGCAGTGACTAACTTCAGGGTGGATGCCCTCACTAAGCGCTCTAACAATGGCTTTGTTTCAGCTCCACCTCCCCTCTCTGCAGCCTGACAAAATAGAGTTGCGGGCATGGTTGAAAAGACCAGATTAAAAGTACAAGAAATGGGTGCAACAACAAAACAGCATATACAAGATTACTGATCTACCCCTGAAAATAGAGTTCAAAACTAGACAATAATAGGATTTTTTTAAGGGTGACCTCTACTTGCACCACTATACCTTGGTTTTGTTAAGTTGGTAAGAAAACTGTCTACATGATCTTTTTTACAAAATTTCCAAAGAATATGTTTCATTGACCCAAACCCTTGACCTTATTCACAAAGAAGTAAGGGGTCCTTTGGTAAAATGACATTCTCCGACATGTTCTTTTAAATCCATGACCTTCTCACAGGTTTGAGAGTGTCGCTTGTCAAGAGGTCATTTAGCAAGATAACCCCAAGGGGGCCATTTACCAAATGCTTACCGGGTAAGCGCTTACCAGCAAGATCACCACCATCATTTACCTTATTGGGCCGTTTTTACCTGGTAAGCGCTTACCGAGTAAGAGTCCTTTTTCTCACTTACGTGTAAGATTCTTGGTCCTTGCTATGCCTCTTACCGGGTAAGATTTTAGGTCCTTGTCACGTTCACCCGAAAGGTAAATGATACATGGTAAGCACTTACCCGGTAAACATTTAGTAAACGGCCAACCTTTTGTTACAAGGTTAGCCCTTGAACTTTTCTCAAATGGGACCACATCACCTTAAGCTAGTCAAGATCCATAAAGACGCCTTAGGAAAAGAGCTTATACCTTCCTAATTGTAGATCCATCTTGACTGCTTCGCCTTTTTATCAGATCAACGGGCTTTTGCTGAGCTTCCAATAATATAGATGAGTTTGTTGTCCCTTTATTACTTTGAACAGAAGGTGTTGAGTCAGAGGGAACTCTTTCCGAAAATTTCATTAATTTGCTGCCAAGGGGAAATTAAACATGTATAAACCCTCATCTTCGAGGTATGAGACCATTTAATTTAAAGAATATGAAAAGCTTACCCAGGTTTATCATAAGCAGCCCAATACTCCTCAAGACAGTAAGATAATAGGGTCTGACTACAAATATGAAAGCAGATGTAACTTAGTAGATGCAAATCAAGTTTATGATAGATTCACCAAGTAGACGATTGATCGTGTGAGAATAGGAGTTAAGGTGACGAGTGTAAGACGGGATTTGGACCCATGATCACTTTTAATCCCAAAACAACCAATAAATTGCGCTTTAAAAGGGAATTGATCTAATGGTTCTCTTCAAGTAATCTGGACAGTGACCGTTCATCTGAATGGTATTTACATGTGCATACAAGTAATTTGTAAACAATTTGTCCGTATACACATGTGCATAAAAACAAAAAAAACAGCTTCAATTACTTGTATGCACACGTGCATAAAAACCAAGGACCAGCTTCAATTACTTTCATCCCAAAACAACCCATGAATGGCCCTCTAGAAGGGAATTGATTTAGCGTATCGCATTATTGTTGATCTAGTGGTTCTCTTCAATCATGATTGATCCAAGGATAGATCCCTTGTTACCGTTCTCACCATAACTTTTTCATTCTCACTCGAACCCAACCCTCACAAAGTAATCCTATACTACCTTCGAAGCAGAAATGAAAGCAAATTTGATTCCATGGGTTGTTGTGAAGAATTGCTATAATGAGCATATCCGGAGAAAACATCATAACAAACGGTAAGAACGTTATAAAGAATGATTTCCTTCTCCGCTTGGATGGCTTGTTGCCTTGATCTTCTTCCATCATGATGGAATTTGCATCTAAGTGGCGCATAGAAGTCGAGCCATCCAATTTCATCTATAACAACCTGAAATGACAGTACAGATATATTGGCTTGATTCAACATACGGGTTATGTAACACCCCAAAGCCCAAAAAAACAGGTTGGCCGATAACTTCGAATCCAATTTAAAACTATGGTGGAAGTTATTGGTAGCTTACAATTTGAGGCTTATAAGAAACTCACAAATCCCATTTTCTATCCATGTGGGACGAGTTGTTACAGGGTTAGATGGGAAATAAATCATCTAACTAACCTCGATGAAGAGCTGATACTCGGGTAGGGAGTTAAATTCAGGACAAATGTACAGGCTACCACACTCTAGGTAACTGCAATTTGGAAACTTCAAAACCATCAAAATCCGTTTAATTGTTTCAACTTTCAAGTTTCAATGTTTGTGTCAGACCAATTGATCAATCTACCTGAGGAAGTCCTTGATTTGCTCGTCAAGATCCTTTATGTTCATTTCTGATAAGAATAATCTGGTCTCTCTTCCAAGAAATGCAAAAATCCCAAGAGTAGCCAAAGTAGTCTCTCCAATCTGTACGAGAATATGGTATTAGACAAATAATGTCTGCCAACTATCATACAAAAAAAACAAAGGCTTCATACAAACATTGTATCAATAATCTCCTTATGATACGAGTACACGAAAGATAATGTGGACATAGACTATTCAATTATAAATTTAGAATCATTACAAGACATCGGTAACGCATTCTTAGTAGAGTTTGATGCAAAGAGCACTAAAATCTGACTAGAATTTTTTACATCCCAAACCAACCGTACTAGATATTGTCCGCTTTGTCCACACCTGGACTCACGGTTTTAAAGCGCGTCTGATAGACGAAGTGTTCGGTTCCTTATAATCGTCTCCTTCCCCAACCAATGTGGGATCTTACTATCCACCCCCGTTGAGAGCCCAACGTCGTTGTTGGCACACTAGTGCAGTTCCCGGCTCCAATACCATCTGTAACATCCCAGGTCACACTTGGACACACGGTTTTAAAACATGTCTAATAGAGGAGGTGTCCAGTTCCTTATAAGGCAACTTTCATCCCCCCCCCCCCAACAACCAATGTGGGATCTTAAAAAAATGATGAAAGAAGTTCTACAATGTCAAGTTTCATGTCATGGAACCATGGCATTTCACCTATTTATGTTTAAAAAGAGTTATTAGCTATTGGAATATCTAAAATGCCTCTTAACAAGACAATATTAAGAAAATCCGTAGATCTAAAGGACAATAAACAAATTTATATTGAAACTTACTGAAAACAAAGATGTTGCATTTTTTTAGACAATTCAAGATAAAAAGCACTTCATTCATCCCAAAAAGATAAACCACTTTTACTTTTCGAGTTTCACCACATGATAGTTTCTTTTTGTTTCATTTTGGCCTAGCCCAACTAGTTTGGGATGAAAGGGTTGTTAGGGGCTGTTTGGTTGGTTTTCTATTAAGTCCTGTATGGATAAAAGTTATCTGTATGGATTAATCTGTCTATATATTGGGAAGATTTTTGTTTGCAATGGTTTTTTCATAGATGGAAGGCGCGTGCTTTTTAATTGGGGAGGACGGGTTTGGAAAAACTTTCCTTTCTGCATAAAGCTCCCCCTTAGAAGCTTACTGAATAAGTCAGTTTCTATATCATTAAGCCACTACCACATGTGTTTGGTTTAATTTCCCTTAGCAAAATGGCAAGAAAGAACAGTGTGTAATGCAACTGACCTTATCATTGAATGTCAGTTTGCCTGTTATTACACCTTCTCTGTGAAATGCTAACAAAAGTTTTTTCTGTACCAGCCCGATCCAAAATTCCACATCTTCAATGTTCTTATTTGGCAAAACTTTTTTACCAAAATGGAACAAAAAATCATCTTCAAATCCTGCCTCCATTGCCAAGTGATGCAACTTATCTGCCGTTACAAGACTGCATGATAAGTCCATAAGCTCCACCAAGACATTGTCAATGGACTCAGTGAATAAAGCACAAGCAATACGGCTCGATCCCAACTTTCTCACTGCAGCGCAACAACTTATAGCCAGAATGACTCCTGCAACACCACTGAAGAAATTTGTGTCAGTTGTCTCCTATCTTAACATATACTCCATCCCAAATACCGAGACAGAGCTAGAAATTTTTTCAAGTGGTGGCACCATTTGACTATAAGAAACAAATATAGAGATATTTTTCACAAATCATCATTGGTTTGTTGGTTAGTTCATTGCTTTTCTTGTGTTCAAGTCTTTTATTGCAATTTTTTTAAAACATAATAAATCTGAAATTAAAAGCTAAAAACTAATAAAATGACACTAAAGGGATTCAAACTCAGGTCTAAGGTGGAAGAGAAGTCTTGCAAACCAACTCTACCAAGGGAAACTTGTGTCCTTATTATAGTTTCAAAATATATATGGTAGCACACAACAAATTAATACGGTGGTACTTTTTACGACCCTATAACTTTTTACACCAGGTACGAAGCAGTGACCCGTGATACCACATGAACACCGCCTAGGTCCGTCCCGCCAATATAAATTTCCACAATGAAAATAGCTTTACAAATGGGTAATTATTACACTTTTTAATTAACTAAATGGCACTTCTACCCTTAACTAAATGGCACTTTTACCCATAACTAGTGGTAGAATTGAGAAGTAGACATTTCGGGTGCGTTTGGTACACTGGACAGGATAGGACATGAATCATTGTTCCACGTTTGGCATGACTTTTACGTGATATAGACAGGAACAGAGTGGAACAAAGTGTTCCACACCCACCCCATGGAACAAGTTAGAACAGACCTATATTTTGCCAATATAACCTCCAAATAAAACTTAATTCTCTTCTAAAACATCAAATACGCCTTCCTCTTTACATTTTATTCATTCTTTAAATTTTATTTATTGTATTTTATGCTCTTTAAGATTTCACTTTATTGTCCTCAAAATATAATATTTATATTGTTCCATATTGATTAATTTATGTAATTTATTAGATATTAATAATAATAAAATAATATAGAAAAGGTATAAAATAAAACTTGGAAACTACATACACTCTTTATTTTGGTGCAACTTTAATCATCTTGACGGAAACTTTCTGATTATATATTGTGTTATAAAAATCTTATTTTATTATAACTTAATAAATTACCTAAATTAATCAAAATATATAAACAACTTATTAGTGGTAAATTTTTCATTTTATCTGTTCTATTATGTCTGGTTCTATTTTACCAAACGCTGAACAGCTGTCCTATCCAGTTTGTACACCAAATGCACCCTTAATTTTTTAAAGTGAACGCTTATTTTGGGACAAACTAAAATAGAAATGTGAACATTGATTTCGACGGAGGTAGTATTATGTATCATCATTAAGAAAAATGTTCCAATACAAGAAGCTAAATTTAAGTGCAATTTGATCATCACAGGCAAGAGTACATGATGATTTAACTATTCAGAATGCTGAATTTATTTGCATACCTTCCAGCATATTCCACCGACCACTTTTTGAATAGTGAGATAAATGATCCTGCTATACGTGGAAGCTCCACAGTTCTAAACCACTGTACCAATTTGGGGTGCTTGGCATTCAACTGACTCTCAACAAACTCGCCAAGAAACGATGTCTTTGCAGACAAACTGAGGTAGATGCATACGTAGAACGTTAAACCACATGGTTATTGATGGTAATAAACGAGATATAGTTTTACCCTGTACTACTGATTTCTTTGTTCCATGAAATTTTTTAGGGTGTCCTAGGCTATGCTTGGACTACTTCCGGCAAGTTGTGAATACAAGAAATCAGCCATAATAAACTCGGTGGCCACAATAGTTGTGTACGCTTGGAATCGAACCCTGGGAAGATGTGATATTCCACCACATCCACAGAGCCTCAGCCACTATGCCACAACCCTTGTCGTTTTCTTTGTTCCATGAGTTGCATGGAGAATTGGGAGCAATTTATGTGCAAGAAGAAGCACATACCACCCTTCCCCACCCCAAAAAGAAGAAAGAATGATATGCAACTGGGAAATTAACAAAAGTAGCCATTTTGATCGACCAAATTCACCTCTTAGTCATTCCTCTCCCACTTTTTCAAGAAAATCAACAACTTCGCAAGTGCCCAAGACACAACTTGCGAAGGGGGCATTTTAAAAAAAAGAAACTCAAGTGCTTGCAGCAGGGGAATTTTTCTAAGAAAATTCAAGTGCTTGCGGAGGGGCATATAACGTGTGAGGGGGTGAAAAACTCAAGTTTCAAACTTGCGGAGGTGCCACTCCTCAGGTCTCCATTTTCATAAAACAAACTTGTGGAGGTGCTACACTGGCCACTAGAAGAGCTTGGTGCATCCTTCCTATGCTCAAGACAAGCCACTTGTAGAGGGTTTGTAATATGGCCCCACTTTTCAAGACAAGCCACCTCAAACTTGTTCTTTTTTTATTTTTGGTCCCTCCACAAGTTGCAGCCCAGGAACTTGCAAAGGTAGTGACTTTTGGGTGAAAGTGGGAGAGAGATGATTAGGAGATGAAGTGATCCGTGGAAAATGGCTATTTCTGTCCATTTTCATTGAAAACGAGAAAGAGAGTGGACTTCTCTGCCTGGTTCACATAGCTTCCTCGATCTAATTGTAACAATATTGAAAGCTAAACCATGTCTAAGGATTCATTTTAGCCAACCACTTCCTCCAAATCGTACTTACATTTCACTTACAGGACTGTTGCAACGCTTTTGAGAAAGAAACAATTCCACTTCAATTGTAGCTCTCAATAAAGCATATACTGCCACCTGTATTACAACAGTGAGTTATATTCGAGAGCATGTAATGATTCTCTTGAGCCATATAAGGAGCATAATTGTATTGTTCAACTTCAAACTCTAAGGGTGCGTTTGGTATACCGGACAGGATGGAACGGAACAGGGATCACTTTTCACGTTTGGCGGGACTTTAATGTGGAACAGACAGGAACGGAGTGGAACAAAGTAGAACAGGCGTGTTCCACCCCCACCACATAGAACAACTTGGAACAGACTTATGTTTTACCAATATAACCTCAAAATAAAACTAAATTATCTTCTAAAACATCAAATATGCCTTCTTTACATTTTATTCATTATTAAATTTTATTTATTATATTTAATGCTCTTTAAACTTTACTTTATTGTCCTCAAAATATTATTTTTATATGGTTTCCATATTTTGATAAATTTATGTAATTTATTAAATATTTATAAAAAGAAATTTAGAAAAGGTATAAAATAAAATTTGGAAACTACATAAACTTTTTATTTTGGTGTCATTTTAATCGTTTTGACGAAAACTTTCTAATGATAGATTTCGTTATATGAAATATTTATTTTATTATAATTTAGTAAATTACATAATTAATCAAAATATATAAACAACTCATTATGGGTAAATTGTTCATTTTATATTAACTGTTCTATCTGGTTATGTTTTTACACTCTTACCAAACGCTGAATAGTTGTTCTTTTCTGTCATGTTCTATTATGTCAAGCTACCAAACGCACACTATACTTCCTCGAGAAAGCGAGAGAAAAAAAAAGCATGCCATAGACCATACAAAAGTGATCAAATAACACACCAGGTTTGATTACGGTTCGATCTGAAACCTTTTTTGGTTTGTATGGTATACCTGATACGCGATGCGTTTATGCCACAAATTCACATCCACTCCAATCCACGCATTTGAAAGCTCAGGACCACTCCTAGCCAATTGCAGAGTCTGAATTGCAACGGAAAAACTCCTGGCAGATTCATGCAATACCCATACAAGACAATTTACACGGTTAAATTCTGATTCGTCTCTGTGTGCTATACCCACCGAATACTTATCTTCAGCAATGATCTTATCTCTGCCAGAAGAAGCAATGGATGACAATGATCTTAATGAAGACCGACTTTGGGATGAGGATATGCAATGTCTGAACAGGAACCCATGCAAAAGGTTGTTAGTTGAAGAGCCATAATTCTCTGGCCCTTTCATGCTAAACTTTGATCCATAAGATGAATGAGCTACAGACTTTGCACTTTCTTCTGATCCCGCACATTCCCTGACACAAAGATATAATTTAATGAACTTCTCCAATCAAATAAGGGTTCGAGTCCAGGCGTACACAACAATTGTGGTCACTGAGCTTATCAGGGCTGATTTCTTGCAGTCACAATTTGTCGGGATTAGTCCAGGCATATCCTGGGACACCCTTCCAGAAAAAACTTACAATTGGTATTTTTTTCAAATTTATTTACTTCCCCCTTACAAAGGGAAAGACTGTCAAGTCACTGATTCTTTTTCATATATATCTTTCAAACAATAAATAGTGTTACTTGAACCACATTAAAGCCTCTCCAAATATCATCTAACAGAATATTTATTAACTCAATAACTCCCCAAGTAAGACCTGCTGCTATTGCAGTCTGTTGTCCAACTCAATTATGAGCAGCTTCATATCCATTTGTGTGAAGTTCTTGATTTCTAGAGTTTATTTAATTGATACATTGAATAGTTAATGTTTCGTGATTATCGTTTTTAGGTTTGTCCTGAGAATCAAACTGATTGTAGTTAATCTTATTGGAGCTTGCCAGTGCATTCGCCGAGTACATATTGATCTAAACAATTTGCATACTATTGAGTATTTGAGATAGACTTGGATAGGAATGTTTATCTGTTCATTGTTCTTAACAATTTCTTCATGATGCTTATGTCCATTGATTCACTTGAAACAAAAGGAGGTAACTTTGGGAATAATGAAAAAAATTCTATTTCTGCATAAACTTTTTTCTTCTTGTTGAATTCTTCTCCACGTACAAATGGCAAAATCCCTAAATCCACAGAGGCTTCTTAGTCATATAAGTCTACATTGGCTTACCCTTTCAAAATTAGACAGGCAACCATTAACACTGATTTTTGCAAACCCGAACTTTGGGATCTCACAATGCATACCACACAATATGCTTTTCTTTTGGGTGGTCGGTTTAGAGTTAAGAGGTTTTTTTCTTTTTGATTTGGGAATCTTCAAGCAAGAAGTAAGAAACTGAAACTTACAAATCTTCTTTACTCTTGGGAAGCTAAAAAGCTACACTCAACATTCACAGTCAAATTTGAGATAGTAATTCCCTTATGAACAGATAAACATTCCTATCCAACGCTATCTCAAATTCTCAACAGCATGCAAATTCTTCAGATCAATATGCACTCAGCGAATGCACCGGCAAACATCCAATACAATTAACTACAATCAGTTCGATTCTCCTAACAGCCCTAAAAACGATAATCACTAAAGATTAACTATTCAATGTAGCAATTAAACAAACTCCAGAAATCAAAAACTTCACACAAACACAAATCGCTATGAAATCATGTTAATCATCAAATTCTAAGCATACAGAGTAAAAATCACAGAAAAATCGCATGAAATGCAATTAACAGATAGGAAGGGCTTGTAGGAAAGAGATCTTACAAGTAGTATGAAGAGAAATTGGTGGATTGAAATGCAAATCGAGAAGCCATAGAAGAACAAAAGAGGGGTAAAAATGGCGGATGGGGGGAATCGGGAGGGTGAGAAGAAAAAGAAGAAGAAGAGGGATTTGTTGGTTGGTTTGAAGCGAAGCCATCGAGGCAAGGCGACACGCTGCGAAAGCTAAGCCGCCTGACAGATTGAAAATGGATTAATTTAATATATATTTTTTGTACCTACTACAACATAACTTTGAAGGAATTGCAAAACTAGTCCCTGGACTTTATAGATTAACCTACTATAAATTTGGCTAATCTGGTTTGTCAGAATTAACATTTTTCGTCTTTACGGTTTTAAAATTACAAGTTGGTCATTGTGGTATGTAACGACATATGGATTCGGTCCCTCTTGTTGAGATCCAGTAAAAGAATTCCGTTAAACGAGATGCATTTAATCGATTTTTTTGTCCTTTGTCGTTGAAGACAAAGAAATTCGATAAAATAATACAGATGCCCCTCGTTTTACAAAAAAATTTAATATTACCCCTTAGAGGGAAGATTCAAATTCGGATGTTTTCGCAAACCATGATGGTCGTCTGATAATTTCGAAATTGTATGGATGAAAGTGTTATTTCCGACAAACCATAGGGACCAAAGAAACAATGTGCGATGTTTGAATCAAGAATATATCGCACATGCTTTGTCCGGTATACCAGGATGTCGCTCGTAGTGTTGTGCGATATACCAGAATGTCGCTCGTAGTGTTGTGCGATATACCAGAATGTCGCACCCAGTGTTGTGCGACATACCAGAATGTCGCACCCAGTGTTGTGCGACATACCAGAATGTCGCACCCAGTGTTGTGCGANCCAGTGTTGTGCGACATACCAGAATGTCGCACCCAGTGTTGTGCGACATACCAGAATGTCGCACCCAGTGTTGTGCGACATACCAGAATGTCGCATGAGGCATTGTGCGATATCCTCACCACCACATGTTGCACACGTGTTGTGCGGTGTGTCACTGTTTATTGAGTATGTCGCACAAGCATTATACGATATTCTTAACCTTATGTCGCATTACTCTAAATCTTATATAGAAATTATAATTTCTAACAGATATTTTTGTAGATGGACAATTTCTACCAAACTTTATATAAAATGGTAATTTTTAACAGACTTTTTATAAAATGATAATCTTCCATGAAGTTTTATAACACGGGATTTCCCAACAAATTGTTTAAGCAAACTGTTAATTTTCAATAACTGATATTAAGTTATTCCAAGGATAGAAGTTTTCAAACAGCATACAATATGTTGTCTTCCAACATTTGTCTTCATCTTTCCATGTATCATATTCAGTAAAATCAAATGGAGGCAGTAGTTGGTTGTTACAGCTTAAGATGCCTATAAACGGAGGCTACAGACAGTGGCGACGTCACTAATAGTTGAATATTCAACAGTCTTTTAAGATTTTGTTAAATCTGATATTGTCCCCTATTTACAAGGACGATATGTGTGGCCGAAGAGCCCCTCTTAATACGGTTGATTAGTTTAGCCAGATATCCCCGAGGATAGGCGAAAAGGCCAAAGAGTCCTTAACCTTCTCGACTTTATCCTGTGGATTTTCTTGAAAAATAGTCATTGTTCATTTGTATCATACATCATAAAACAAAAATGTTCGTTTAGTGTCATCTTGCTTCAGAATCAAGAGAATGAAGGCTTAACGTAAGACCTGTTTGTTAGAATTTTAATGAGCTTAATGGGACTCACACTTTTTGAATGAGCTATATATTACTGTTTGGTAGTGGATTAATAATACAGAGACTGGTCAAATGAAAACTGTTTTGTTTATGGTAATCGTGAGATCCAATCTCAACAATAAATCAAAGATTTAATTAGGAAATTAATAATTTTGGTAATTTTAACTTAAAATATTAATTAAGGACATTTTAGGGATTTTATAATTATCATCTCTCGTCTCTCCTCTTTCCTCTCTCCGACGAACCTTATTCCGATAAACCTTATGTGAACACAAGATACACACTGTGATACATACAAACGATATTCATTGTGATACTCATATATACATACAAGACGCATAACGTGATACCTTTGTAAAGCAATAAAAATGCACACTATGATACATTTCATAAAACAAAGAAAATACATTATGATACACGTGAAACATTGCGAACGTTATCACTGTGATACATCTTGATTCACAAACGTCTTTAAAATACGATGTATATTAGATAATTGATATACTAGGTAACCAATTTTAATTATATATTTCATTCTAAAAAAATTAATTAAATATTTATATTAGTTGTCAAAAATAGAATTACTATATTACTCTTTTAGTTTATTTAAGAAATAGCCTTAAATATCTCAAACGAACTGTTCATATTAGATCTCATATATATTGATTTTTCATTACCAATTTATAATAAAATTTAACATCTTATTGTATCGTATGGATACACGACTACTAAATAAATATATATGTCTGTCTGTGCATGCCTGCATGCATGCATGTGTGTGTATATATATTTATGTTCATACGAGAACAGTAACTAAGGAGTTTGTTTATCTCTTAATAATTTTATTAAGAGACAGTCTCTGAATCGTAAGTAGTGAATCTTGTTTGTAAAAAAAGTTGTCTCATAATAGTTCTAAAACCTTCTGAATGATTTTGTATCCTGAGCATCCTTTAACCATTCAACGTCCTAATTTCATTGTAAACAATTACCAAACAATTATATTTCATTTTACACTATATCATGAGAGCTTCTTAATCATTCTGTGCCAAACCATTTAGCAATTATCAAACAACATCTAAATAAAAGAATAAAAAAACAGTCGAATCACGTATGAGTTTACACTAAGATTACGAGTAAAATCACATATGATTCACACGACTTTGGCCGCGACTTAAGATCGCAGGACACATCACATGCACCCCTTTCTGTTGATCGTTTTCGTATTCTCTCTATTTTATTTATTTATTTATTTATTTATTTATTTATTTATTAACCCTAAATTTAATGGCTCCACAGATTTGCGGATTCTTAAAAGATTGCCCCTCGTACTTGATTGAAAACCATGGTCTATGAAAATAAATAATAAATTATTATTTTTATGTTTTAATATTTTTATTCTCTAAAATAATACAAACAACTTTTTTTATTTATTTAAAATAAATTAATGAAAAAATAACGTATTTTAACTTGATTTCTTTTAGGTAACGTATTTGCAAAACTTCTATTTCGATATCTAAGATGTAAAGTTTTAAACATTTAGGTATTTGGATAACCCGGTTAAAGTATTAACCGGTTACCATGCTGATATGACGAATGATATGGTATCCGGTTAATGTTTCAACAAATAATACCGAGTTGGATACTATATCACTCGCCACATCAGTATGGTAACCGGTCAATGTTTCAACCGATTACCTGGATACTTAAACATTTAGAACTTTACATCTTAGATACCAAAATAGAAGTTTTGAAAGTACATTACCCAAAATAAAAATAAAGTTAAAGTACGTTACTTTTTCATGCAATTTGCCCTTTTATTTAACCTTACAAGTTTCGTTATACCGTTCTCTAAGATAAAAAAATCTTCTAAAATTCGATTGACAATAAAAGAAAATTCTATTTCCATTGGTAAAATTAAACTATTATTATTATATATAAAGTTTTATTTTTTAAAAAGTGCTTTGAAGGTATATCACATAGAGTATGGGTGGATTTGATATGATACCAAGATTGTTTTCTTCAATACTATCTACCTATCAATTATAACTGGTACGCACAATTTTATACCTGTACCAACTAACTATATTTGGTACCAACATTTTCTTGTTGGTACATGGTACTGACTTTGTATCAAATTTCAAGTTACATATATAAATATTTGCCTTTATGTTCAAATTTGAGTTTTCAGTAATACATGTGATGTTTTAGGGTTTTAATTGCAATGAATAAAACTTACAAGCATTCAAATGTTCAAAAACAAATTAATTAAAGTTATAAAGTTTAATATTCCATGCATATAAAAATTTCAAAAACTAATAAATAATTATATAAGTTGGTATCATGATACTACCATGATATGTGACTTATAATACTGTGTACCAAGTACTAAGCAACTTTGCAAACTTGGCATGGTACTACGTAGGGGTGTTTATGGGTTAGGTTGATCGGGGTTGAAGACATTTGAACAACCCAACACAATGCTTGCGGTTTGAAAAATCTTAATCCAACCCAACCCGAACCAAAGTGCAACCCAATCCAACCCGTACGGGTTGGTCGGGTTGATACTTTGGTACATTTTAGTACTCTTCTAACTTAGAATATGTTATTTCTCTATTCATAGTTTTTTTTTCATCATCAACCATTTGATATAACTTATCCATACTTCTTACGTATATCACATTTAGTTAATTTTCTTAATTTACACATATATGTTCACAGTTACTGAACATATATACGAAGAACATACATGATAATGTAATTGTCTAATGTACATATTAATAGAAAGTCAACAATCATATTAAATCCAAGAAATAAAAGGATATTGGGTTCATCCGGTTGGGTTGGGTTCAAATAACAGTAACTCAATATCAACTTAATGCCTACGGTTGACAATTTTACAACTCGATTAGATATCGGGTTGCTTCGTATTGAGTTATTTCGTGTTGGGTTGGGTTGATCGGGTTGGTCGGGTTTTTGAGCACCCTTAATACACATGTTGGCTTGTTTTGTTTGGTAGATATTTGTCATCCCAGGTCTATTTAATAAAAAGAGATAAAAAGAGACAGAGTAAATATATTAATATCGATTAAAATAAGAAAATTAACGTATAGTCGTTTTATCCAGCTAAATTCACCTCCTAACTTAAGGGCCGTTTACTTGAATGCTTACCCAGTAAGCACTTACTGGTAAAATTCAACAATATCGCTTACTTACCGGGTAAGATTTTATTCACTAAAACGCATCGTATGCAACAATTTATTCCAGTAAGCGCCAACCATGGTAAGAGTCCTCGTTCTCACTTATCGGGTAAGGCTCTCGATTCTTGTATTCGCTATTACCGGGTAAGATTTTTAGTCTTTGTCATATTCATCCGATAAAGTAAAGTGACTTGGTAAGCGCTTACCTGAGTAAGCGTTTGGTAAACGGGACCTAAATGTTTTATAACATCCTGAAGTTCTAACAACACATTATATGAAAATACATCCCTAATTATATTTTACCTCACAATGAAATAAATCTCAAAGTTTATAATACAATAATAACCCACTCTTAGGGACCGTTTACCGAACACTTACCCGGTAAGCGCTTACCGGTAAAATTCAACACTATCACTTTTTACCCGGTAAAATTTTAATCCACCAAAACGGCATTGGATACAACAATTTACTTGGTAAGTGTTAACCGTGGTAAGAGTCATCGTCCTCACTTACCGGATAAGACTTTCGGTTTTTGCCTCGCTCTTACCAGGTAAGATTCTTGGTCCTTGCCATATTCATCCGGTAAGGTAATGTGACTTGGTAAGCACTTACATGGGTAAGCGTTTGGTAAACAGTTCCTAACTCTCTCTCACACTCACCAAAAAACCAATCATATGAATACATGTAAGAAGAGAGAGAAAGTAAACATCAATTAAATAAATTTAAAATAAATAAAAATTTGATGTGTCTTAGGGACTCGTAAATAATCAGAATGATTAATAGGCTCTTATGACATAGTGTAAAATGAAATATGATTGTTTGACAATTGTTTACAATAAACGGCTCAAGGAGATCCAAGATACAAATCATTCAAAGGGTTGTAAAACCATTAAAAATCAAACTTAAATCTACTAAACAAAATTCATTTATTAACGATTCAAATGCTACATTTTAATGAAATTATTAACAGATAAATAAATAAGCACTTAAATTTATTGGTCAAATAAGACGTAACATATCTTTATTCACACGTTCGGTAGGGTATTCGTCACTATAATTACTCCCTTCCACCTTCTCTTTAGCCACCAATGGCAAAATCCGATCAACCTTCCGATTCCGGCATTGACACCACATTAACTCGCCAGAATGGGATTCCGGCGAAGAAAACACGTCCACCGGTGTACCGTGGAGTTCGAATGCGCAGTTGGGGCAAATGGGTATCGGAGATTCGGCAACCACGTAAGAAATCGCGTATCTGGCTCGGCACTTTCTCCTCGCCGGAGATGGCAGCCAGAGCTCACGACGTCGCCGCCTTATCCATCAAAGGAAACTCCGCCATTCTCAACTTTCCTCAACTCAAAGACTTGTTGCCACGTCCGGCGTCAATCTCGCCGCGTGACGTCCAAGCCGCCGCCGCCATGGCTGCCGCCATGAAAGAGTTCAGTTCATCTGCTTCATATCCGGATTTCTCTGTGCCACCGTCGTTGGCTTCCGATGATCATGTTTCCGGCAACTCGGCTGATGAACTCGGTGAGATTATCGAGTTGCCGAGTTTAGAGGGGTGGTTGGAGTCGCCGGAGTCGTCGACTGAATTGGTTTTGTTTGACTCGGTGGATGGGTGGATGTACCGGCCGTGCACGGCGGCTGACATCGATTTTTTTCCGGCTGATTTTTCCGGTCCGGTGGGGGAAGATTCGAGCTTCCAGACGATCATTTGAGATTCTTATTGATCTCACACTTCATCTTGAAAATATTTACTCATTAATTATTTTTGGAACATTTTATTGTAATGCAACATGATATATCTTAATTTTGACGTTCGAGAATTCAAACGTATAACCTTGATTCATATTTATTTTCGTTTTGCGTCTTTCTTGATTTCATTTATTTTATAGTTTTGTTTGATTTTACAAGGGCAAATTGTATGAAAAAGTAACGTATTTTAACTTGATTCATGTTTCGGGCAACGTACTTTTAAATTTTTCATTTTGATATCTAAGATGTAAGTTTTAAACATTTAAGTATCCGAGAAAACCGGTTGAAGGCTAATTTTACATTTAAAAAAATCAATGTCATTAACCACGTCAGCAAATAATACTGAGTTAGATACTACATCAGTCGTCACATTAGCATGATAACTGGTTAATGCTTCAACTGGTTATTCGAGTACTTAAATGTTTAAAGATTTACATCTTACGTACCAAAATGAAAGTTTTGAAAGTATGTTATTCAAAATAGAAATCAAGTTAAAGTGCGTTATTTTTTCATGCAATTTATCTATTTTAAAATGTTAAAGTTAATATATTGATATGGGTATAAATTAAAAAGAATATAAAAATACTACTGAGTTAATTTGAAAATAAATGTTCACAATGAAAATTATACACAACTTTATAAATATGTAATTATTACATCTTTTAAATAACTGAATCATATTTTTACCTAATAATAAAGAGAAAAACATTTTTCATCTAATAATTAATGATAGAATGAGAAATTAGAAACGTCACATACTTCGTAATACAGTAAAGATAGGTCAAAGATTCTCAAGCATAACCAGCCTTTAACCTAGCGGTATCGTAAACTTTGGCCTTCTAGAAAGTCAGGGGTTCAAACATCAGCAAATATGAAAAGGTTGTGTGAGTTTATTTATTATAGGTTAAGTTTCGTATTCATGTTGATTCAAAGTATTGTTTATTTGTATATCAATTATGGTCGTTGTTTGTGTTCGGTTTTGTAGATGTTAACATTCTACATGTTATAAAAGAAAATAAATACTAAATAACATAAGTACAAGGGTGGTGTTTGATTGGTTTGAGCTTGAGCTCAAAATGTCAAAAATGTCTGGAGGTCTCAGGTTCAAATCCAATGAGGAATAAAAATCCCCTTGTGGCCACGGGAGATCAAATGCGGTGACTCAAGGCTACCGACAAAACAGGTAGTTGTCTTGTGATTAGTCGGCTCGCATAGCGGATTGGATATACAGGTTAATCAAAAAGAAATACTAAATAACATTGGTCCATAAAACTAGAGTTTTAATATAAGTATTGTGTTATTGATACCCATGAAGAAATTGAATTGTATTGACCGGATCAAGAGTGAATTTTGAGAACCATTTAGAGCCAAAGATTCTAAAAGCTTGGAACAATTCCATTAGCTCAAGTGTAATTATAATACCCGTCAGATGTGTGTGTGTGTGTGTATATATATATATTAAGTTTGGGTTAGTTTCGGAAGTTGACCAAACTTGAGGGGTTAGTTCTGCATAACTCGTTTAACTTTGCAATTTGGATGATGGGCTTGGGCTTGGGCTTGGGCTTGGGCTTGGGCTTTTGTATATTAGGGTTTAATTAGGGTTTTTTTTTTTCCTTATATATAAACTTAAACCTAACCCTAATTTTTTTTTTAACCTAATCCTCCTCCCTAACCCTAATTCCTCCTCCCTAACCCTAATTCCTCTAATTGTGATAATCGTTAGAGAGAAACCCTAAGAGCTTGGAAGAGTCCATTGATAACCTAGAAGGGAACC